TATTTTGAATTAAAGGTTTTAACAACAATTCAAATTTTGTACCGTGGTTCCCATAATTTATCATGAGATGTACATCATGATTCATGGTTGTTTGATCCTCGTCAGCTCATCGTAAGTCATAGTTTATGATACATAAAATACGTATTTCTAAAAGTTTACGCAAACCAATTAATTTATTTAGAAAAGCCTTGAATGGAAAAGTTATTCAGTTAAAACCTTTGAGTGGGTAGAGATAATTATATAATTTAAAAGTTTTATGGAGAAGTACCTACCTTCAATTTAAGGCTKAACGTTGTGGATTTATTTTAATTACATAGTTAAGCTGTAGGTATTTAGATATTTTTCTTAATTTGAAATGTGTAGTTAAACATGTGACTTAAAACCTTATGTGTCAATCAAAAAAATTTTTTTAAATTCATTTTCTCATATTGAATATTTAAAGTATAGGTATTATAATTTGGTATCAAAAAAAAAGGGTTGGTTAGTTTTTCTGATAAAATAACAATGTACAATTTGTTATAAACGTCATTAAATTTCCAAAATAAAAACTTTGATAAAGCGAATGAAATGCAATATATATTTTCCTGTAGAACCTGAATCTGAATACTTGAGAAATGAGAGGTATGTTTTGATTACAACTGTGGAAATAATAATACCAAAATTTGATATTATTTTTAGATTCTAATTCAGCTTCAAAATATTGAGCCAACATAATATATTGTCTCCGTCTTACACACGTACAACATACCAAATATGCGTTTGCTAGTTACAATAGGATGCTGTAAATATTGATATTAGAGTAAATTGTTATAGAACTTTTAGATTAGGGCATAATTATAAAGTTATAACTAATAAGTTATTTTCTGTAGGTCGTCAAAAAATACAAGGGGGGGGGGGGGTTATAATCAATAACCTTTCCCGCTGGGCACGCCACTGGTACCATATTTTTATTTTTACCATATTTTTTATATCATCAAAAATTTAAATACTCTTTAAGTATATTTTTGACGAAACAACAAATTTTTTAATCTTAATCAATTTTATGATATATTATTGTGTTGTTTTGAAACTGTAGCAGTAGCGTAAACACGGGGTGGAGTGGGTGTTCAATCCCCCCTTCGGTAGATTTTTCACTATACGTAAATAAATACAAAATAAAATGAATACAATTTAAAAATTGTTCATAATTTTATTTTATAATAGGTACGAATGTATATATGTATATATGAATAATGAATATGTGTATATTTTTTTAATGTAGGTAACCTCTTCATGCAAGATACATTAATGTTTAATGTTTGAGTAGGTATCAAAGAATCATATGCTATTAGTGCTATTACAAATCAAATAGGAAATTATTAAAATATTTTTCAAGTTGTAGCTTGAAAATAAATCACGATTTAAGATTAATAGATTGTTCAATATGCTCGCTTAACAAGTTCAAACTAATAGGTACGAAGTTGATATATTAGTAATTACTAATTAGTATAATATTACCAAGGTCTAAGATACCCATATAAGATTGAATCTAAATCAAATTTCAGCATGAAATCAAGATACCTATATATTATAGTTTTCGTGGATTCAAGTTCATTTATTTATACTTAATATACTTTATTTAGTAATTCTGAATAATTTCGAAGTATAACAATTATATAAATTATAATATTCCAATCTTCAGAAATTCAAGCTAGGTAATATGAAATAAATGTTTAATGTACCAGTACAATTAATAATTATTAGGTACTATAAGGTTAATAGGTCCATGATTATTACAAATTT